GAGACAGGGTTTCTTTCTCTGTGTAGCCCTGGCTGTCCTGGAACTCACTCTGTAGACCAGGCTGGCCTCAAACTCAGAAATCCGCTTGCCTCTGCCTCCCAAGTGCTGGAATTAAAGGTGTGCGCCACCACTACCCAGCTGAAATTTTCTTAACAAAAGCTACTTTTAATGCTTTAGTTAGGCCGGGTGGTGGCAGTGGTGGTGCATGCCTTTAATCCCAGCACTTAGGAGGCAGATACAGGTGGATTTCTGAGTTCGAGGCCAGCCTGGTCTCCAGCGTGAGTTACAGGACAGCCAGGGCTACACAGAGAAAGAAACCCTGTCTCGAAAAAACCAAAAAATGTTTTAGTTAAACATGGACAAAATTATTTCTATGCAACCTAAAAATACTAGAAAATTTAAAATATAGAACAAAAGCAGGGTTTCTATATTTCTTCAGGTACTAATATGTAAGAACTAATCAGGTCATAAAAGTCCAAACACTGATTAATTTCATTCATATGAAATGCCCAGAACAGATCAGTGTATACAGGAAACACTTGTGTCTACTTGAGTAAGGGAGATGGATAAAGGACAAGAGGCATGGGGCTGAAGCTGGATCGGAGTTCTTTGGAAGGTGACGAAAACACTTTAAAACTGGCTGTGGTGGGCAGTTAAGAGCAATGGCTGCTCTAGTAGAAGACCTGGGTTTGATCCCCAGCAAACACATGGCGGCTTACAACCATCAGTGACTCCAGTTCCAGGGGATCCCATGTCCTGTCCTGGACTGCAGGTACAAGGAATGCACATGGTGTGTAGACATACATGCAAGTAAAATACCCATAAAGTCAAAATAAAACTGGTTGTGGTAAGCTAATATAATTTTTGTCTTGAGTTCTAATACTCTGGGAAACTGAGGCAAGAGGATCCCCATACATTTGAGGATAGCTTGGGCTACATAATGAATTCAATACCATGGTAAGACAATCTTGAAACTGAGCCATCTCTATGGCCTCCTTCCATCTTTATATAGACCATGCGAGTTGAGTTCAAGTCAATAGACTTGTGCAGAAAGTGCCTTTACATACTAAACCATTCAACAGAATGATACTAGTATTTGGAAAACACTTAATTTGAACTTAATGCTTGCTTTTTTCTCTCTCACATTAAAAGAAAGCATAGTGAAGTATATTCCAGCTTTTCCTCATTCATTATAATCTTTCTATATTAACCTGTCTCGTATACCTAAAGAGTACTTAGTAAATGTTATTATAAAGTCTATACTAGAATGCATATCAGGAATTTATCTTAATATCAACTCTTGAGTCTATTTAATATCCAGGAAACACACACAGTAGTCCCTGAAAGAACCAGGGAAGGTCTTGATATTGGTAGCTTGGTAAAATTGGAAAATGTCATAGTGACTTGGTTTAGTGTAGCTATCCTTGTTGCAAGATGAACCTGAAGCCTGACTCTTGGATTAGTTTAACATCGAAAACACAGAGAAAGAAGACTCTTCTCAATCTTCCCCATATTGTGTAACTCACTCTCAAAGATCTGTGAAGTAGTTCTTTGCACTGTATTCTGGAGAACTTGCAAGGAGGTAATTGTTCTCCCAGTGATAATTTTGACCCAATTTCAATTCTGAACAAGAAAAAAAAAAAAAAAAAAGCCTCACCCTTGTCCTGAAGGCTCTATGAGGAAAGCTAGAGACTTCATTGCCTCTTAGTAAGCTAGTGATACTGTACACAACAATACCCCCACCTCTGATCTTGTTCTCTGGCTTTCAGTTTTTACATGGCCCCACCACTGGTCATTTTTACCTGTTAGGCTAAGTGGCTGCCAGGCCACATCCTGTGACCTCCAATCAGAATGGCCAGTATGAGAAGAGGCCTGAAGACTGGCTTGGTAAAGAGACTCCAGTTCAGAGGTCTCCTGCTCTGTGTCTTGGTTCCAGTGTGGATGCAAAAGGATATGATTTCTTTCTGGGTAAGTTATACATGTATGGGAATCATGGGAGGAAGACTTGACTCCTGGCCCAGGAGCCCTGTGTTTAACCTGAGAATCACAGAGCCTTGTGACATTTACCCAAGAATCCAAAGGCAAAGGAGTTCCCAGGTTGACACTACTACCCAGCTCCTTGGGCCTAATATCTGTTACTTGGGGTAGCTTTCCTTGATATATATCTGGCTCAGCCAACCTGGGCTGTCCTCTCCTCGAAGTTTCACCATTAGGAAACCCAGAGTCCCTGGAAAGAGAAGGATGACCTACAGGTTCTTCCCAGCAGGGCAGTCTTTCCCTGCCATCTGGAGAAGGGGGTTGTTTTACCCAGTGACAGTGTTCTTTTCCTGGACCCTGGGATAATGGAGGCATAAAGTCAGAAGGAGAAGAGCTCTTCCTTAGACCATTTGGCAAACTTTGATCCTGGGAACCTGTAACATCTCTCATGGAAGTATTCTGAATCTTCTGGAACTGCTCTGCCAATGAGCGGACAAGTCCTTTTGTACTGGGAAACTCTGGCCTATAGGGCTCCTCACTGCCTCTGACCACTTTTGAAGCCAATGAAGTTTGGAGACTTTGGGCTTGGAGATGTTGGTTAAGTTTCTGCATGGGGTCAGTAGCATGAAGCACAGGTGAAGCAGCAGCAGACATTATGGGGCTGCAGACACTGTAAGGGGGAATGCTAGGCTGAGCTGATGAACTTGAAGGACTATTTAGGCTATATTTAACTCTCTCAGAAGTGGCTTCTCCTGTTGACTGTGACCAAGGCATCCCCATGGATATATCAACAGGATTATTTTTTTCTTCGAACAGCTGGTCTTGAGCTATGACTCTGCCTTCTTGTGGTGGGAATTTGCTGCAACAGCCCAAGTCCTCCCTGCAGCCTTGGAGCCCATCTTCAAGAGCATCGAATGGCAGGCATTCATGTTGAGAATTCATCTCCATTCTACCTGTTGCTTTAGGTAAGTCCTGCCTGTGGAATTCAGAGTGATTGACCTTGTCCACCTCAAAAGACGTCAGAAGCTTCAAGGGAGATCTCCTAGGGGGACTGTGCTGTGGAACAGATGAAGCAGGTGACTGTGGGATGAGTGATGAGTGTAACTCAGGGCAGGAAGCAGGTGAGTGGAACAAAGAGGGAGTGGCCCCAAGCTCTGTATCCTTGTGGCGTTCCAGCTGTGCTTCCTGGCTTAACAATACTTGGAGCGGGATAGGCTGTTCACTGAAACAAATGGAGAGAACTAGTCACAACCAGCCTTGACTAACAATAAATCTTCCAAAAAACACAATTCATTCCATTCCACTTCTAGCTATTCACAGATATGATGAACAGAATAAGAAAGACAAACACAAAACCAATAGTTTACAAGTTCACAAAAGAAAAGAAAGGCAGTATCCCCAAATTTGTATATGTGTTATTAAGTCCAGTGTTTGCCAATATTCTTTACTACCTGCAAAGTCCCATTCCAATCACATTCTACTTGCAAATTTTAAATTAAAAGATAAAAATTGCCAGGTAGTGGTGGCACACCCATTTTAGTCCTAGTATTCAGGAGGCAGAGGCAGGTGGATCTGAGTTCGAGGCCAGCCTGGTCTACAAAGCAAGTTCCAAGACAGCCAGTGCTACACAGAGAAACCCTGTCTCAAAGAACAAACAAACAAAAGATAAAAACTGTTTCTTCCACAGAAGGGAAAGACTAAAAGCCACTCACACTATAAAACAAAAGTCCCAGATGCTGTACAAGGAGAGAAGTGCTACCCTAGGGGCCTATGGGGTAGCTCAGTCAACAAAATGAAGAAGATATTACTACAGAACACAGGTAATTTGAATTCCTGGGTACACAGACATCAACTATCACTGCATTCTTCACTCAAATGTCTCCTCACAGTGATAGAACAGTGGTCTCTTAACACTGAGGAGGAGGAATCAGGACATAATGCATTTACTTAATTCTCACTGTTTTATATTTATGAAGAAAAAAAAAAGTGCCCTTAGAGGAAACTTCAACATGTCCAACTTTAGAGTTTCAGATAAGGATTAAGAAACTGAAAATCCATAACTGGAGTGCTTCAAACCCCAATTGTTTTAAGCACGGGCATGATGATGAAATAAGTTTGGACCCTGAAGTATCTCAGGCTTCAGATTTCAGGGCTAAGAGTGTTCCATCCATATATATGAGTGTTCCAAAATGTGAAAGAAGAAAAAAAAAATGAAATCTGAGCTGTGTATGGCAGTGCAAACGTCTAACCCTGGCATTCAGGAACCAAAGGTAGGAAGACTGCAGTGAGTCTGAGGCCTACACAGCCCGCCTAGCACATCCCAGGCTGCCTAAGCAAGCTTACTTCAAAAAATAATGAGAAAAAGACAGAGAGAAGGAAGTGGAAGGGAGGAAGGGAAGGGGAGGGTGAGACAGAAAGATAAAGACAGAGAAAAGCAGAAGGACAGGGACAGAGAAAGGCAGAGACAGATGGATAAGAGAGAGAGAAAGACAGAGACAGACAGATAGACAGACAGTGACTTACTTCTGGTTTCAAAACATTTTGGATAAGGAATTCTCAAACTGTTTATCACAAATGTTTGTGGGTTTAGTCATCCAGTCACTCTTGTAACATGAATGTGATACTTTAATCAAAACCTGGCCTAGGAATCTAGTTCAATTAGTAGAGTGCTGGCCCAACACGAAGGATGCCTTGCATCCTTCATGCCTTCACAGAACTGAATAAACCTGAGTAGTGTTAAACAAGCCTGCAATACTAGCACTCCAGAGGCAAAAGAAAGATCAGGAGTTCAAGGTATTCCAGATTCTAGTTAGTCTAGGCTATACGAGACTCTTTCTTGAAGATAGGAAAAAGGGGACGGGAAGGAGGCAGGGATGGAGGGAGGGAGGGAGACAACACTGACAGTAAACAGATCTGTATCTAAATTCTAAACGTCCACCACTTATTAGCTAAGTAACTATCCTCTCTACAAGTCCCCTTATTTAGAAAGTATGCTAAATAATAGCTACTATCTCATCAGGTAATAGTAATAAATAAAACAGAAAGTGCTTGGCTCTGACCTAAACCCAGACAAATGTTCAGAAATGTTAACAAACATAATGGAGATGATAGTTTAAAAGACAAACATCCAAGGCAGAGAACGTGGAGCTTACTGGTAGAATGTTTGCCTAGTAGAGTATATACAAGTTCCTAAGTTTTATTCCCAGCAACACACACACACACACACACACACACAGAGAGAGAGAGAGAGAGAGAGAGAGAGAGAGACCTGCTTTTATTATAGTTATATTTATACCCCTAAAGTGTGGAAACTACCTCTTGGGACTTTCTCCTTGTCCTGACCTTAGAGAAGCAAATAAAGAAAATCTTTGTGTCTCTTCCCTATGGTTTAATGAAAACAAGAAAAACTGGTTATTTTCTCTGTGAGATGGGAAACATTGACATCCCAAATTAAATGGTTACTACAACAACATGAAAGGTGCAATCAGATTCCATGTATAAGAACATAATAAATACAGATATAATAATCATATTGCTACACAAATCCAGGAAATATGAATAGCTTGTTATTTTCTACTTTTTTGCATCTTTTGAGGAATTATTATGAAAAGGACCATCTGTGCTATGAGCTTTTGTGTGTCTGACCTTTAAGAAGAAAACCTTAATCATGTATTTTTCTCTTTTCCCTGTAGTGAAGACGACAAGAGTCCTTGCTATGGAGTCCCCATGGTCACTGCCTCCCCTGTGTCCATAAGCTAATGTGGTTCTCAAGCACTACCTTTTTGGCTGAGGGAAGGTGCCCCCCTGTGATGGGAGAGAGGCTGAGGGCTGCACCGGCTGCTGCGATGATGGCTGTTGCTGCATGCGATCCTGCAGGCTTCGTGCTTTTCGAATACTGATTTGCAACTTCTTATCGACTAGGGCTCTGCTGTGCGTGCTAGAGCTGGCATCATGCAGGGTAAGTCTTAGTTTAGCTAAAATGCAAAAGAAAATATAGCAGAAACAACACAAAATACAAACAAAAATAAAAGGACAAAAACTAAACTAAAACCAAGCAAAGATAGGCGGTAAAACAAAAGACGCAGCAGGAATGCAAGGCATGGACTGTGCATGGGCTGTCGAGAGCGCAGAACCAGCTCTGGCTCTAGGAAACATTCATGAAAGCCATGGGGCCAAACAAGTTAATTAAAACTTAAACAAACAAAACACTAAAGAAAATAAAACAAAACTTAAAAGGAGCCAGGAATATAAGCTAGCATGTGGAGGTTGCCACTCTCGTCTTTTGACTGTTCTGTTTGACTCTGGTCTCCATACTCTGCTCCCAACTCACCCTTTCTGATGGCCAATGGCAAAAAATAAGGTCCAAACCTGCACCTGTCTTTCCAGAGCACAGCTTCATGGAGTCATATTCAAGAGTCAGGTACCAATTCTTAGCCTTAGCCCCTTGCTGTTACAGTATGGTACTGCATACCAGAAAGGCAGGGGAGGAACAAAAATAATAGAGTATTACAATGAAAAGTTACTACCTAGGGAATCAGAGCCAGTTTCTTCAGTTTGCCTACTCATTAGCCAGTGACTAGAGAAAGATAACTTTATTTGGGTTAGAATCCATCTGTGGTTTCCTGTTAAGGTTGTTCTAGTAAATGTCCACAGACCACAGTGACACCACCAGGTACATTTTGAAATCTGAAGGGGAAAGAGAGCTAACTGGCCTCCACTTGGGAACACAAGAGACATTATAAACTGCCCCTATGGCCATCTGCGTGACAACACTAGTGCCTATTGTGGAGTTAGTCAAGAAACGCCATAGCCATAGCAGTCGAGTTACTTACAGATAGCTTCGTTACAAAGAGCCAGAGCTGCAGCACAGTCTCCCTTTTGTTCCAGATGCAGCGACTCTTCAAATATTGAATTTGCCTCTTGCAAGGACCTTTCAAAGCCGTCACTCCTCCCTGAAAGGGCCAGCACTTTCATTTTTATTATAGTTAGTTCCAACTTCTCCTATGTACTGTTTCTTCTCTTTGGGACACACAGATCCTTGTTGTCTACTTTTTATCTACCTGTCCATTGCTATTAAGAAGTCTTTAGGACTAAGGTATCCATTTTTTTTTTTGGTTTGGTTTTTTTTGTTTTGTTTTGTTTTGTTTTTTTCGAGACAGGGTTTCTCTGTGTAGCCCTGGCTGACCTGGAACTCACTCGGTAGACCAGGCTGGCCTCGAACTCAGAAATCCGTCTGCCTCTGCCTACCAAGTGCTGGGATTAAAGGTGTGCGCCACCACCGCCCGGCCTAAGGTATCCGTTTTTGCCTTAACTGAGATCTAACCAAGGCCAGGAAAAGGCAGGTGGGGGGGGTGGGAGTAGGGGCATGCCATATGAATGCCATACTACTAGTCTAATACCTCTTCAAGGAAAGAACAAAGTACTGTCCATAGTAGCAACAGGACTCTTGTGCCTAGAACTGAACTCCCTCCGCAAAACATCAGGTCATACCTTTTCAACCATCAGACACCCCAGACTTCCTGCTATAACCACAGCATGGCTTACTATTCTGTGGAACGTCACTCATGCTGCTTCTAACATAGCTTCAATTCCTTCTTCACCACTCTGCTCTGTCAGTACACCTCTTGGGCTTGAGATGGTCTATAGTTTCCACTAAAATAAATCTACCATAGCATTGACTGCATTTGTTGTTACACGAACCGACCTTTCTTTAGCAACAAAAAGTTTTTACTTTTATCATGCCTCATTCACCAAAAGTATCCATCTCTAAAAAGCCACCTCTCACATAACAACATAGGGTATTTCTCCCTACTCCCAAAGTGCATATGAGTCAAAGGAGATACAAAAGAGGAGTCCAAGAACAGTGCCAGATGAAAAGACTAAGTAGTATAGCAAAGACACTTTCGTGAAGGACCACCCGATATCCTTACCTCTTGTCATCTCTAACCATAAACTGGTAGGAAGTTATAATGTTACTTGACCTACAGTTGGAATTGACATTGAGCCTTCACATGGTCATAGGGGCTGGAAAAATAAAATGTCAAGCCAGGTATGACGGCACATGCCTGTTATCCCCAGTACTCTAGAGGTGGAGACAGGAGGATGCCTGATCACATAGCAAGTTAGAAGCCAGATAGTTTATGGTTACTTAATGAGATTGTATCTCAAAAAATCAAAGTAAGAGAAATAAAATGAAATGAACTGGGATTAAAAAGTCTGAGTCATTTTTTTCATTACGTCACCCTTATGTTATCCTCAACTCACCTACAGACGTTATGGTAAGAAAGGATCTGCAGAACCTTAGCTAATTCAATTCCTACAGCAGCTATCTTTTAGAAAGCAAAAAGACAGTGGAAAGTAGGTTGGTTCTGGAAACCTTGGAAGTCAATTTCTATCCCATCTCTGCATCTCTGATTTCCTCTGGCCCTAGAGCCAAAGTTCTTCCATTATGATTGCAATCAACTGAGTCTAAACATCTTTACAATTAGAGGTGGTAGCTGGAGGGAAAAGAAGGGCCAGGCATGGAGGTACACACATATAATCCCAGCACTTCAGAGGCCCAGGTGTGTAACAGTTCTCAATTTTACAAAGACCTAGGCAAACTATAGTTACGGAATCAGTGTAGCATATTTAAATCTTTATCATCTAGAATCTCAGCACTCCAGACGTACTCTTTTTGAGGAGGCTGCTCCAGAGCTTATCAAAAATGAATAATGAAACACAGTGAGTAGGACGCCTGCTCAACTCTAATGCGTGACGCACTAAGAGAGGAGGAAAAGACAAGGTCAAAGACGACAAGATCCCTGTTTCAGTAGAAATATAAACTTTATATTGGTGGCACATGCCTGTCACCTCAGCACTTAGGAGGAGAACCACCACACAAGTAAGAACAACCTGATCTACAAAGAGAGCTCTGGGCCAGCCAAAGCTCAAGAATGATAAAACCTGGTCTCAAATAAAAATAAAAATAAAGAGGGTGGGGGGGTAAGGATGAAGAGGAATCTGAGGTGATAAAGCATTTGTCTGGTAAGCATGAGGACCTGAGTTTCATTCCCAAAACACACTGACTAAAGCCAGGTCAGAGTGTCTATTTGCAATCTCAGCATTGGGGAGGCAGAGATAGGCATGTCCTTGAGGTTCTCTAGCCAACCAGACTGGCCTACTCAGTTAGGTTCCAGAATAAAGAACATATTCCAGGGAACAAAGAAAAAAAAAGGTAGACAACATCTAAGGTTGTCCTCTGGCTTCCACATGCACTCGAACATACATGTGCACCTGTACACATACAAATATACAAACACAGAACAATATAAAATTGGAACATTAAACTGTTAAAGACTTGAATTCAAAATGAAAAATCGAACAGCTAAGAGGAATTGAAATTTTAAAGCCCTTTTCTTTTTAGTTTAGTTAGTTTGTTTTGTTTTGTTTTTGAGACAGGGTTTCTCTTCCCTGGCTGTCCTGGAACTAGTTCTGTAGAACAGACTAGCCTTGAACTCTGAGATTTTACCTTGTCTTGCCTCCTATGTGCTGAAACAAAAGGTACATCCCACCACACCAGGCCTTAAAACCCATTTTCAAACAAGCACAACAAATAATGTGAGAAACAGAAGACAAAAATTGTCCTGGATCAAAAGAAAATAAGGGGCAGGTGACTGGCTCAGCCATAGAGAGCCTGGCAAGTGTGAGGTCAGGGCAATGGGGTGGGCGTGGGGGTGGCTCAGCTGTAGAGAGCCTGGCAAGTGTGAGGTCAGGGCAGTGGGGTGGGTGTGGGGGGTGGTTCAGCTGTAGAGAGCCTGGCAAGTGTGAGGCCCTGAGTTCAATCCCCAATATCACAAAAAGAAAAAAGAAAAGACTACAGTAAGGTTGGAAGAAAAGCTGTCTTCAATTGAGACTATTTAGTCCAAAAAGCTGCTTTAAGTGTAGAAAGAGCTGAGAAAAAGCAGCCAGTCCAAGGACACTAAATCCTAGACTTCATGCTGTTTGATCAGCAGATTCTGAGTAATAAGAGCAAGAAACTCATTTTAGAGAAAGAAAAACTTAGGTAAATGTTTCAAAGCTTATATAAAGGAGATTACCTCAAGCTCTTAAACTATTTTGAAGACTAGTCTCTTGGCAGTAGTGGTAATCTAAAACTAATTTGTTTTTGTGGGTTTTGGTTGGGGTAAGTAACCAATATGAGGCAGTTGGGGAAGTTTAATTCTATGTACATTACCTAAGATTTAGGAATGAGCTGTCATAAGATCAAAAATTAATTATGGATAGGTGTGGTGGTAGAAAGCTGCTATCCCAGTTACTTTGGAGGCTAAGGCAGGAAGGCCTGCCTAGCTGATAAAGGGAGAACCCCATCTGAAAAACAACACCAACCCTAAAAACAAAAACAAAACTAGGAAATTACAGCTGGGAAAACAGCTCAGACAGAGAAACCACCTGGTTTACACACTGCCTCAAGCTCTGTCTCCAGTACTATATTAAGAGATGACCATGCTTTTGTGCTCTTTCAGTTAAGACTTATTTTCTAGATGTTATGGAAACATTTTCCCTGAATAATGCAATAAGGTACTGTCTCTAGCCTTTGGGCTTTCAACTTTTTTAAAAAACTTATGTATATTACAGGTATTTTGCCTACATAGATCTCTGTGTATCTCGTGTGTGTCTGGTGCCTGTGGAGGCCAGAAGAAGGCATCAGATGCCTTGAGACTGGAGTTGCAGACGGGTGTGAGCCACCATATGGGTGCTGGGAATCGAACCTAGGTCCTCTAGAAGATAAGCCAGTGCTCTTAACCACTAAGACATCTCTCTAGCCACTAATCTTCAGGCTTTTAGTGGATATTCCTCAAAGTAGTGCTGCTATCTCTAATCAATAAGTTTCTCAATTCAAAACTTAGCTCTTATAATGTAAAAGTGCAGGAATTTCAGGTCTCAAGAATCTCACTCAGGTTTAGGTAAACTCAAGAATTAACTGCCCCAGGACACATCCTGGGAGAAGCACATTCCACAGACTAAGAGGGGCCCAAGATAAGAGTTTAACAGAGGAATGAACCCTTAACACAGTACACCTGGGTAAACAGAACCCACTTAAAAGATAAGGTGCAAATTTGAGTTACTTACAAACCGGGCCTGGAAACGGAATCCGGGCATGGGAATGACTGTTTGAAATCCTCTACGGTTATTGTTTAAAAAGTAATTAACTGTCTTGTGAATTCTGTGAAAATGGTATATAAACTGCCCTTAGCTTTAGTTTGAGGTTCCTCTTGTCTGCATACAAGGGAACCCCAGTATACTGGTTTTCATCTTATCATCAATACACTTTATGTTATTACATCTAATCTGCTGTCCATGGGTATTTCTGGGGAAGCACGTCCATTGGTTTGGATCTTTAGGTCCAACAATAACAGTAGTTAAACTGAGATAAAATCAAATATTGCTAAACAGTGGATAAGAAATTTCAAAGTGTGGATCTTATGTTTTGTCTTTTCTCTCTGTTCCCATTCCCTACAGCCTGATTCTCACAATTACCCTGACTCTGTAGTTCATCCAAGTCCATGTATCGGCTGGGATGAGGATTAAACCCTTTAGCAGCCTCTGATTCCTTCTCCCGTTTCTTCCGAAGTTCCTGTTCCTGAGCCCTCCTCGCCACTTCTTCCTGTAGTTCATCCAACTCACTTTTAGAGGTGATCTCCCCAGCTGAGATAGAAGCAAAAGAGATAAATTACAACACTTTCAGAATCAAGGTGAATTATCTGTTAACCTTATGGTTACTATGCCATTTTCCTTTGGAACTCTTGCTTTCCAGTTGTGATTTGGATATTCTTGCTTTATGAGATTTAGAGAGAGAAACACAAGCCATGAATAATGATGTTAACAACATATATACTTTCAATATTTCATGAATAATAACAGTATAACTCCTAATATTTCTTAAGCATTTTCAATATACTAAGAACAATTTTAAAAGCATTTTTACATATGTTACTTCATTTACTTCTCTCAAGTGATAAGGTAAAACAGACATGGGATTGTTGGCACAGTCCCATGATCCCAACTACTCTGATGGTGGTGGAAGAGGATAAAAAGCCCAAGGCCTACATGGTTTATAGAACAAATTCAAAGCCAGCCTAAATCACTTTGTGAGACCTTGGCTCAGACAGTATCTGGATGGGGTACTAATACCTGTGATGCCAACACTTGGGAAGCTGAAACAAAGGAATTGCCATGAGTTCAAGGCCTGCCTGAGCTATAATATTCAGTTTCAGGCCATTACAGACTACACAGAAAGAACCTGTCTCAGAAACCAAAACAACAGCAACAACAACAAAATGGTGGGATATAGCTCAGTGACAGAGCACTTGCCTAACATATATGACCCCCAAACTCCTGGGTTAAATTCCTGGTACTAAAAAGAAAAAAAATTAGTCATTTTTCTTTGTTGTAATTTCTACCATCTGTTTAAATCAGTTTCTAAAATATCTATAGTGAAAACTTTTAGGAGTTCATTGATGAGTCTAAATAGATTGAGAATGATATCCATAATAAATAAAGTAAAAGTATGAGGGACAGAATAGTGTCCACAGTGTGACTTCAATTTGAATAGTTGTGTGTGTGTGTATGTGTGGTGTTAACACTGGTTCATTCACTCAGTTTCAGGAAGTAAAGACAGTTATTGAAATGCTGGGGCAAATTTACTTCTATAGCTAGGTTTCTTTATCTTTTGGTTTAGTGGGGGAGCCATGTGCATAAGCACATGAGAACACACACACACACTTCTTCACGTGTGGATACATGTGCATATGTGACTAAAAAATGTTGTCATTATTTTGTTAAATATCTTTTGCCTGCTGAGAAATCCTATTAGAAAATTCTATTCTGTCCAGCTAATCCAGAACTGAGGACTAACAGGGCAAACAATAAGACTCAATTTTTATTTTTTTTTTCAAAAGATTTATTTATTTATTATATATGAATACACTGTAGCTGTCTTCAGACACACCAGAAGAGGGCATCGAATCTCATTACAGATGGTTATGAGCCACCATGTGGTTGCTGGGATTTGAACTCAGGACCTCTGGAAGTGCAGTCAATGCTCTTAACCACTGAGCCATCTCTCCAGCCCCCAGACTCAATTTTTATTATCCTGAAAAAGTGCCACCCTTCTGAAGAGAATAGAAGGGGTAGTTGGTTCATCCACATTCAAAAGTTTCTTAAAGTAACGTTACTCTACATAAAATAAATTATAATGTGAATAATAAGACATTATATAATTTCATCAAGAAGCAGGCATATTTTCTGCCAGTCCTTCACTTTAAGTTAACCAATATTTCAAGCGTACCTGTTTTGACACATTTCTCTGCCTAACAAGTGTCAGTACATATACCTAAGCAAGTTCATGGCTTCAGTGTATATGTATGTGTATATGTACATATATATAGACACACACACATAAATATATATTCACTTTACAACCCAATATCAGTCCTTCCTCTCCTTCCAGTACACCCGAATGCAAGACCTCCCTGCATTCCATCCTCCTCTTATCTTTTGAGAAAGAAAAGCCCCCCTCTAGGGATAACCCCACAAACACAATACTCCCTTATACCCCACACATCAAGTCACTGCAGGACGAGGCACATCCTGGGAATAGGAGGAGAAGATTCCCAGCTCAAAGGCCCAGAAAACATCTTCAACAAAATCATAGAAGAAAACTTCCCTAACCTAAAGAAAGATGTCTATAAAGGTACAAGATACTTACAGAACACCAAACAGATTAGATTAGAAATGAAAATCTCCCTGCCACATAATAATCAAAACACAAAATATACAGAACAAAGAAAGAATTATAAAAGCAGCAAAGGAAAAAAGGTAAACTAGCATATAAAGGCAGACTCATCAGAATTATATCCGATTTCTCATCTGAGACTCTGAAAGCTAGAAGTGCCTGGTCAAAGGTCTTGCAGACCCTAAAAGACCACAAATATCAGCCCAGACTACTACACCCAACGAAACTCTCAATCACCACAGATGGAGAAATCAAGTTCACACTTTGTTACTGTTCCTGCATACTCCTTTCCACCTAACTCTAAGGACCATTCGGTAACTACCAATCAACTGGTAAATGAGACTGTGACACAGAGGCAAGGGTGGGTAAACTTGAATTGCTAATTCATAGTTTTGCCCACATGTCTCTGTTGTGTCACAATTCACAACACAAATCACTGAGGAATTCATTTCTCAAGAAGTTGTCTATACAAAGGAAAGCCCTAGGACTTATTCTTCGAAAGAATGGAACCATTTTTACCATTATGCACTGTATTTCTTTTTTTTTCCTCATTTCCACAAAATTCTTTCCAATGTTAAGACATTCAGGCAAGCCATGGAAAACAAAAACTAGAGAAACTGAAAGAAAGAAGCTGAAAATCCTCCACACTTACACTTGGGGGTGGTATGCTTGGATGGGTGTGTGTACTCATTCGTAGGCGTGTCAAGCTTGACTACTATCCTTAGTACATCCACTTTGCTTTTTGAGACATGTTCTCTCAGTAGAACCTGATTCACCTTTGGCTGGCTGAGTACCTAGTGAGCTCCATGTATATGCCTCCCCAGCATGCTGAGAATTGAAGTCAGGTCTTCATGGAGTTTAACAAGCACTAACTAAGCTAGCTCTCTAGCACACACATTACATTTTGATGGAATTTTCAAACAATTGTCTTCTAGTTGAACTATGCTCAATAAAATTGATTCCTGAATAGAACTGGTGGTCAAATCCAGTTCCCCAAATCCTGTTTACCTGAGAGAGGTTGAGTCTTTGTCCAGCCGGTCATGGGTGCTGTAGAGTCTACCTCCAGGATGCCACTACTGTGAGACTTTGGAATATGACGCCAAGAAGGGACAAACCCAACAGGTTTTTTTGTGCTTTGATCCCTTCAAAAGAGAATCCAAAGTATAAAAAGTTTCAAACAGTGGCTTCTAACAAGATTCCTAAGACTAAAATTCAAATCAGAAAGCAAACATCATAAAAGCTTGGTAACCAAGGGTCATGGATCAAAACCACAATGCAGCTACTCCTGAGCCTGAGGCAGAAAAACAAGCCTAGGAATACCAGGCTTAAGGAACAAGAATTGAACAAGGATTCCTCTCAGATTGAGGGCGGGGAGTGGGGGTGGAGGGATGATGTAGACACCAGCTTCTGTTGGGGGGCAGAGATAGAGAAAAGCTTCTGTAATATACATTATATTGATTGATAAATTCTCTATTTATGCCTGTTAAAGACTCTGGGGAGGAATATGATGGAGAATGTCATTAATCCTAACATACAGGTAGATCTCTGTGAGTTCAAGGCCAGCCTGGTCTGTAAAGTGAGTTCTAGGCCAACTAAGAATATACAGAGAAATTCTGTCTCGAGAAAGAAAAAGAAAAGGAGAAAGAAAAGGGGAAAAAGAAGGAAAGAAGACATAAAGAAGAAAGAAAGAAAGAAAGAAAGAAAGAAAGAAAGAAAGAAAGAGAGAGAGAGAGAAAGAGAGAGGGAGGGAGGGAGGGAGGGAGGGAGGGAGGGAGGGAGGGAGGGAAAGAGGGAGGTGGGGGTGGGGGGGAGACAGAGAAGAGAGGAGAGGAGAGGAGAGGAGAGGAGAGGAGAGGAGAGGAGAGGAGAGGAGAGGAGAGGAGAGGAGAGGAGAGGAGAGGAGAGAAGAGACAACACTGTGAGGGTGAGGAGGCCCTGGCTGGTCTCCTTGAAACTCCCTGTCCTAGGAAGATAGCTCACTAACTCTACAGCAAACAAAAAGAAAAATAGCAGGCTGCTAAGAGAGTTAAAAACATTGTGTCCTTGGACTGGTAAGATGGCTCAGTAGATAAAAGATGCTTACCACATGGCCTGGTGACCTGATATCAAACCAAGGCAAGGAACTTAAGTAGTGGGAGAAAACTGACTCCCATAAGTTCTCGTCTGACCCATACATGCACACATACACACACACACACACACACAAACACTTTAAAAAATAATTTAACTAAAATAAAAAAAACTAAAATAAAATACTGTATCCTTAACAGCTAGTAACTAGAAGACTATCTCCAACCAAAGCTATTGTTGTTTATACAACAATGTATAGACGCCTACAATAGGAAAAGGAATTAGAAGGTCATCTACGGAAAGGACAGAAGAGGACCCTCTACCTGGACTCTCTCAGTGGGAACTACAGCTGGCTGCTTAGCTTCTCCAGCCAATGTCTGTTGGAGGACTGTAACCAAAATTTGATGGTGTTTATTTGCTCTTTTATTTGGAAGCCTCAGCCAAGGAATGTACTGCTCTCTGCACTGCTCTCTGCTCTGCACTGCTCTCTGCACTGCTCTCTGCTCTGCTCTCTGCACTGCTCTCTGCTCTGCACTGCTCTCTGCCCTGCTCTGCACTGCTCTCTGCTCTGCACTGCTCTCTGCACTGCTCTGCACTGCTCTCTGCTCTGCACTGCTCTCTGCACTGCTCTCTGCTCTGCACTGCTCTCTGCTCTGCTCTGCTCTGCACTGCTCTCTGCTCTGCACTGCTCTCTGCACTGCTCTC